ACCGACCCCCCTTCCCTGGCGATGTGCGAGATGAGGAACGTGCATGGCTGACTGAATCCGCCCTGTGACGTCATAATGTGTTGCAGACACCTATCTTGGATCTATCAGCAGTAGAGCGGTGAAATATAGTTTATATCGCCTGATGAATACAGTTATGTCCGGAATACGTTTTGTGACAACCACGTATGTATCACACTGTTACCTATCTTATAGTAACATGATTAATGAAGGTTTTTGGGTGGGATACGCTATAATGATATACACATAACCCGAGCATGGAAGTTGGAGACGAAAGCCAAGTGGCATAGTTTGGCCCCGTGCACGGTCTGACTCCTGCTGAGCTCTGTGTGTGTGTCAGTCCGTCCTGTGACGGTTGTGACCCGCCCTGCAGGCATGCATCCCCCTCCCACGCATCCCAACACAGCTGCTGGTGTGAGGGGGTCACGGCAGACAGCAGGTGTGGCGTTTCTGACACCAGGGGTTGGGGGGTCAAACAACATGGAGGTAATGTCCTTTTACGCCGCTGTTCCTTACACCAGACACATGATGGCGGACCTGAATTTCTGTTGAACTGACATCACGTGACTGCTTTACCTCCAACACGACGAATATGAAAATATGTGAACATGTGAAACTCGGGCGCAGTGTAGAACTTGAACTGAGAATATAGACCAGTCGTCTGTGATGACATCCCGACTACTCCGGCCAATGGCCATCTCTGCAGTATCTTGTTAATTCAACAGACAGTCACAAAACGCCATGTTCTTCAATTGTTATTTGTGCTGAGACGGCTGGATACTGATGATGATTATAGCGGAATATCATGCGGAACGTCCCTGGTATATATAACGGTATAATGCTATCATTGTATATCAGTATGTCCTTGGTATATAACGGTATATAATGCTATCGTTGTATATCATTACGTCCCTGGTATATAACGGTATATAATGCTATCGTTGTATATCATTACGTCCCTGGTATATAACGGTATATAATGCTATCGTTGTATATCATTACGTCCCTGGTATATAACGGTATATAATGCTATCGTATGTCCTGGTATATCGGTATATAATGCTACGTCCCTGGTATATAAAGGTATATAATGCTATCGTTGTATATCATTACGTCCCTGGTATATAACGGTATATAATGCTATCGTTGTATAGCATTACGTCCCTGGTATATAACGGTACAATGCTATCATTGTATATCAGTATGTCCTTGGTATATAACGGTATATAATGCTATCGTTGTATATCATTTCGTCCCTGGTATATAACGGTATATAATGCTATCGTTGTATATCATTACGTGGATCTACATAATTGCCAGTATCAGTATGCCAGAGATACTGAGTAACTATTGTCCAACCCATTGATTTGGTAATCACCCACTGCTGTGCCTGCTGGTTTGTTGACCAAGGTGGTCGGTATTTGAACCATATCGGTGGCACTCTGTGACAGGGAGACATCAAAGCCAGCCACTGTGGCGGGCGTGCCGATCTGGCACCAAGCTGGTTTCCTGCAACTAATGCATCGATACACGGTGTTTACTGCAAGCAGCATCCCGTGCCAGAAGGCTGTGACAGAGGTGGTAGCAGCAGCAGACTATACATCAAACAAACCGCCCCACCGATATCTGGCCCACAGCTCTGAACCATTGGCACCACTGCCCGTTGTCTCCTATGAACATATTGCATCACCATGACAACTGCTGATACCATCACCATAACTATGTCACGAGGGGGTCGGTGAGGTAGTCTAGTGGTTAAAGCGTTCGCTCGTCACGCCGAAGGCCCGGGTTCGATTCCCCTCCTGGGTACAATGTGTGAAGCCCATTTCTGGTGTCCCACGCCGTGATATTGTTGGAATATTGCTAAAAGCGGCGTAAAACCATACTCACTCACTATTACGAGGATGTACCTGGATCAGGTTTTGACAATAAACGTGAAGATCCGGGTTAGAATTGATCTTCAGCAACCCATGCTTGTCGTAAGAGGCGACTAACGGGATCGGGTGGTTAGGCTCGCTGACTTGGTTGACACATGTCATCGTATCCCAACTGCGTGGATCGATGCTCATGCTGTTGATCACTGGATTGCCTGGTCCAGGTTCGATTATTTACAGACCACCACCATATAGCTGGACTGTTACTGAGTGTGGCATAAAACAAAACTCACTCACTCACATTCAGACAAGGCCAACCGATGGTTAACAGTGTGAGCATCGTCCACACATAGCTTCCCTGGGTGGCTATCTACGTAGTCACACATCGATATACCAACTGTGTATATAGCTCGACCTCTTTAACCACCCTCCACACACCACCCGCTCTCCCGGTGTATGATCTGTACCCTTGTTCATGCAAGGTACTGTGTGGCATACCAGGTGCTTGTTGTGATGACGTGATACAAGCGTTTAGAAAACTAGGAAAACATTGAACATTTTCACTGAAAGAGACTTTTAGTCCGTCATGTAAAGAAATTTTCTGTTGTGAAGAATGTTGGCATTTCTTTTTCAACTATCGCTCTTAAAGAATACACAGCACGTAGCCATCTTGGTGCATTCATGTCAGGGACCAAGCACAGTGTAGTTGAAAGCCTTCTCGTGCACGTTATTGACTGCCATTGACAGGACTGTATCTGAGACTGAATGGTTTCATATCAACCGATATTGACGCACTTTCTGTCAATCGCATTTTTTATTTCACATCCCTACAGAGCCGATATACTGTAGACTGCCAGCGTTATTTAGTGCTGGACAACACACCAGCTGGACAGACCGATGATACAATGTGAAGTGTTGACCATATGATGTGTGCAATAGTTTATAGCAAGTGTCATATATTGAACTTAATACTATATAGGGGAACTCCCTCGCGCGCTGTCGCCGCTAGATGGCGTGTCCACACAGAGGCTCGCTGTTCGGCTGAGCGCGCACATTGAGTTATTTACAGTTGCTAGCGACAGTGAGATGGCGATAAGGTGAGTTTCTTCGTGGATTAAATTGAACACTCAGGTTTACCTAGATATTAATGTAGTTCATGGCAATTTCATTTAATTCAATATTCCTGTAACGCCGTCCAGCCGAGCCACGTTTGTGAGGTGCATATACTACTGTGCAACGCCTGCCTGTGCATATATGTTGCGGGTTTGTACTAAGTGACAAGTGGGTCTGGCCCTGCAGATCGGACCTGTTGGGGATATGTGGGCACATATGTACTGTCTGTGGAGTTGCAGCTGATTGGGATCAGTCTTACACTTCATAGTCAATCCCCGAGTTCCCGTCTGACATTGCCAAAGTGAGACGGCAACAAGAGTGTTGACGGGTAGATTTGGAGGGGCAATTGTCGAGCGTGCCGGTACTTGTTGTCAAATGCCAGCCATTCAGAAAGTATTTACTACTTACACAGGGGCATCCGCCGAGTGACTTGCGCAGGGACTTTACACTGAAGTACTAACAGCTTCAACAAACGTCAGTCACAACGATAATCTTAGGTTTGGACTAAGTTCACAAAGTTAGAAAGTTGTGTGTATGGGACTTACCTCACTAAGATCGGTCCAATGGGCATACGAGACAGTATACACCAGAAAGATTGGAACATTGTTAAGTGGGTAGCAACTTTGTATGTGTGCAAAGGAGTAGATGAATCATGATCACCACTATGGTGTACCAGTATAATTTGTTGTACTATTTGTATTTGTTTATGGCCCAAATATACATTTAGGTATAACTAAACTGACTTTTATATTTGATACAGAGTTAGATAATATTGTTAGCTACTTCATAAGAAACTACTTTGTGAAACTGTCATAACATGCCCAGTGAACAAGTGACTGGCTACATAACTTAGATTAAAAAAAAAAATCCTGAGTCTGGCCACGAAGTACTGCCTATCCATGTATGGAAGGTAATCAAATAGCTGAAGTAAATGTTGTCTCTCGCTTCCATGATGAATGACCATTAAAATTTAGTCAAAGCAAGGGTTTTTAAAATGGCTTTTACTTCCATGTGTGACTTTGTTGCTCTCTTCAACTTCCTCGTCATTGTTAATTGTCAGTTGTTACAAGTTACAAGGGTGACATGGAAATGCTGGACTCCGATTACAAGAATGTTGACACCTGTCATGACAGATGGTGTTTATGCAATAAGAAGAAAACATCATTTAGTCAATATCTTTGTTTTATTGATGACAGGAGGTTAACTTGAATAAGATGAAAAACTATAGGTGGGACACACATTGCTACGGCTCTTCTGTACAATAACATAGGAATAATGACAGTGTAATGTGACCCGACTTATGTCAAGCTGGTATGATCACAGTATAGAACTAAACATTCTCACCATTACATGCATGTCGTTAGTTTCAGGGAGTTATTTCAAGTGGAGCAACTGTTGGTTCATTGAGAATAACACTTATAAAAATAATAGTATTCAAACACAGCAGTAGCCGAGTCTAAATTTGACATACTGTATGTAATAGATTCCTCTGAATTGACGAAATGAGATCTATATTTAAAACATCCATTTTGTACCGTATGATGCTTTTTGGCTGTTTTGGCTTGAGGATTTAGATGAAATACTGATCAGCATAATGCACATAAGCACAATAATCTTGTTAAAACAGACATACAATAAAATTGTGGCTATTGAAACTAGACAAGATGACTTAAACAGTTTTATATACTACCCATCAAAAGTTTAGACTCACTTAAAGCACTCACTATATGTTATGTATATATTAGGTTACATCGAAGATGAATTTCTCCACTAACTTGGGGGAACCAACTGCAAGCCTTATGCAGATGAACTGCACGAGGATGATGCATCCAATTGCTGAAAAGCATGTGCATGTGAACAGCTGCATTTTGGTGTAAAGTTTTGTTAAGAATTCGCCGATTTTCACTGAGTTTCATCATTTATTGAACTCATGACAATAATCTTTCCTACGTTACAGTTTGTTTTACAATACATGAGTTCATGTGTAAACAGTACCTTTAAACAGTGTGGAATATGTTGCAAAATCTAGTTTGGAACAGTTGACTGAAGTTGGTGGCTACATTTACACTAGTGAGTCTAACCTTTTGATGGGTAGTATATATCCCAACCCCCCGAGAGACATGTGAGTGGTTGTAGCTCGTTGTGACGTGAGCCTGTCTGTTTCAGCCGTGTAGAGTAGCACCAGGCAGGACTACCATGTGTACATATTTCCACTACTCTCACTGACAACAACATGGCGGAGAAAAGGGGGCGTGGCATGAGCCCTGCTAGCTCTTACTCTTCCCTCACCGGCAACTTCAGCCCCCGCAGTGGCAGCCCCAGCCCTGGGATGTCCCCGAGGGGGCCAGTCCCCAGCCCCAGGCCGCCTGGGGTCCAGTCTTCCATTGGATGGGCGTGGCATGCCAGGGAAAGGGATACAGATGGCCATACAGAACTTGCAGCGTGAGTACCTTCGTTGTTGAAACATGTACTCAGTGTATGAACTAAGCCAGATACCCATCCAGACATCAGGGCTGGTAACTTCAATACCAGCCCAAATGGAATTTAACCAGACCAGACACCTAGGTATGGTGAATTTACTCAGATGTATGGGACATCTACAGTCCGTTTGAGACAAAATGATACCGATGAATTGCAATCTTGCACAAAAACAAATAGACATAAAAGAATCAAACCAACGTCAACTGCAATAAAAACAACAGACCAACTCTAGAAAAAAATTGCATAATTTGTGTCACAAGAATAAAAAAGTTGTTTAAGAAACCGTCATCATTTATTTGTGTGTTATCCCAGTTTGTTACAAGGGCGCATTGGCAACTAAAGGAACAGCGCGAAAAGTGAGATGCACGTGCGTTGTTCTCAACAAATTGTTGAGCTGGCGAGATGACACGTACCCCAGCTGCACAGGCAGTGTGCTGTATGTACTTAGTAACGGCATACTTGGGTCACCCCCTGTCATTTTCATCCTTGAAGAAATCATAGACTTTGTAAATTACCGGTATAGACTTTCATTTTCTCTCACTTCGTCAGTCAGCAGTAATCACATGTCTCTGATGTCACTAACGCACGTGCATCTCACTTTTCGCACTGTTCCTTTAGTTGCCAATGCGCCCTTGTAACAAACTGGGAAAATGCACAAATAAATGATGACAGTTTCTTAAACAACTTTTTTATTTTTGGGACACAAATTCTGCAATTTTTTTCTAGAGTTGGTCTGGTTTTTTTTTTGCAGTCCGCGTTGGTTTGATTCTTTTATGTCTATTTGTTTTTGTGTTAGATTGCAATTCATCGGTATCATTTTGTCTCAAAAGGACTGTAAAACATTTTACCAGACCATCGGGCTGGCTTGCTGTAAATTTTGACCGTCCGTCAGAAATCTAGCCAGTCTCGGGCAGGGCGATGGGCCTTATTTCATACACTGATGTACTACTTACCTGAAGATTGTCATTTCAAGACATAAAAGTGGTGTAAAACCCAGCACTTACTCACTCATTACAGGTCATATACTACTTACTCAAACACTTTTGTCATAAAGGGCAAGCATTACATACCCCATCTCAATACCCATAAATTATGAGTTGCCTTTTTTGATGAGACTGTAACACAATAGAATATCCCTCTGCATGAAAACAGAACCATGATGATGCTGACAGGACAGTCCAAGTGTTTAGTCATGAGCACTTTAATGAACACACTGCATATAGTACTTACCTGTTGATATATTGTACAATGTCCTGTGTTGAGCTCTGACTCAGGATGATATATTGTACAATGTCCGCGTTGAGCTCTGACTCAGGATGATATACATGCATTGTACAGAGGCCTGTGAGTTTCACTGGTTCTGAAAGTGAAACTGAATACTGTTTTAGTGGTTTCACAGTTCTGTGTCTAACAGGAACATAATGTTTTCTTTTATGAGGATCTATTTCAAATTCAATCATGTGTGTCAAACAGTTTATGAGATGTTTTGCTGTGTATGTCACCTCGCGGGACATTTTATGCTTGTAATACTGGTACAAAGAGTGGAACTATACAGCTGAAGTTGGAGTGTAATCATATATCAGTCAGTGTGCTTCAGTGGGGTCCACAGGGAGGCATCTAGGACGCTGGACTGCATCATATATACAGCTGTGTCATGCAGCTTCCGGAAATTGAAAAACCTAGTGCAAGATTCAGTCAACATGACAACATGAACAACACTTTAGTAATTACCATGTCAATCATGTGTCTTGAACAAATAGCAATTATCAGTGTCAATCATAATATCCTGAGGTATCTATGGTCAAGTCAGATGTTCTGATTGCTTTCTTGGAATTCATGAATGATCATAATCACGTGGCAAACTTTTCCTGGTGTGCGTTATCAGTAAGAATTACTAAGATCATGAACTTGCTAAAAATCATAAAACAAGTTGGCCATTGTTCAGATAGGTTTTGGTCTACTTTCTGAAATCAATTGGGCTAGTTTTGTGGAAAGCTGGATGCATCCCTGTGTTCAATTTAATTGGTACAAATCCCACCCACCCCCAAAGAAATATGAACCATGCATGTCACAGTGTGTGCAGGCTTACTTAAAGTGAACCAGTGGTTTGACTCATCATAAAGCAAGGCGTGATTGTCAACTTCCTGAACAAGGAAATATATTTTCGGATTGCTCCATGCTTTCAAATGACCGGATATAGTGCAAGGAGTGTGACTCTATACTATACTTGATTCAGTCACTGATACTGTAGTGTATGTGATATAGTGCAAGGAGTGTGACTCTATACTATACTTGATTCAGTCACTGACTGACTGTAGTGTATGTCAGATATAGTGCAAGGAGTGTGACTCTATACTATATTTGATTCAGTCACTGACTGACTGTAGTGTATGTCAGATATAGTGCAAGGAGTGTGACTCTATACTATACTTGATTCAGTCACTGACTGACTGTAGTGTATGTCAGATATAGTGCAAGGAGTGTGACTCTATACTATACTTGATTCAGTCACTGACTGACTGTAGTGTATGTCAGATATAGTGCAAGGAGTGTGACTCTATACTATACTTGATTCAGTCACTGACTGACTGTAGTGTATGTCAGATATAGTGCAAGGAGTGTGACTCTATACTATACTTGATTCAGTCACTGACTGACTGTAGTGTATGTCAGAGGTGGGCATGCTGGAAGGGAGGCAACTCTGCTTGCCTTGTCTTTCAAGTGTGCCAAGAACTCTATCCACCCGACAGTCTCCAGACCCTAGAGAATAGATTTAGAAAGGAGCCCAACTCAAGTCTAGAATCATTAGGCATGTATAGAGTGCAAGAACCGTCTTGGGTGGGCTCCTGTTGTTTTTATGTAGCCCATGTGATGTTATGAATCTCGAGTCCTGACAACATTTTCTTTATGAACTTGTAAAACAAAATGAACAAGATTGTTTTCATACTGACAGTGACATAGAGACAGAGACATGAGCAATATGTTTTACCAGGTGCAACTTGATGATGGGCACTGAGATGCATTCATACAGGCTTTAAAGAATATCAACTAAATATTGCTTAATATCAGCAGAATGTATAGATCTGCAGGAATATGGTTTCCCAACCCACTGCTGAATCCCCAGCAAGGGTATGAGTAGGCTTACGTCAGTGTTGTTCATGAGGACCCGTTCCAGGGTTCTACTTGCATGTTTTGTCATCTAGGGAGGTCATGTCAGTGACAGAATCACTATTTTATGTGTTCTGTCAGTAACAGAATCACTATTTATGTGTCCTGTCAGTAACAGAATCACTATTTTATGTGTCATGTCAGTAACAGAATCACTATTTTATGTGTCATGTCAGGTAACAGAATCACTATTGTATGTGTCCTGTCAGGTAACAGAATCACTATTTTATGTGTCCTGTCAGGTAACAGAATCACTATTTTATGTGTCCTGTCAGGTAACAGAATCACTATTTTATGTGTCCTGTCAGGTAACAGAATCACTATTTTATGTGTCCTGTCAGGTAACAGAATCACTATTTTATGTGTCCTGTCAGTAACAGAATCACTATTTTATGTGTCCTGTCAATAACAGAATCATTTCATGAGACATGGCATCTTTCCTTTAAGGGGCGTAGGGTGGTCGAGTGGTTGAAGTTCTTTTTTGTCATGTTGGAAGCCCAGGTTCAGGTGGAGTCTGTTGTAGTATTGTAGCTTGTCTGTGACATGCTGGTAGATTTGTGGCTGGTTTATGTGATCATGGTGTGATTCCCTGCTCTGCAGGTCAACTGATCCTCTGTATGTCAGGGTTAACTATCATACCTGAGTTCTTCTCAACTGTTTAAATATCTAGCTGATCTATGCAAGTAAATATTCTTCCCCAAGCTGTCTTTGGCATGTGTTGTCATGTAGAGATTTATGGCTGTTTTGGACGATTTGAATCATTCTAAATAAACATGAGTTACGAGAGCCGGCACTGGGGTCACATGAAGAGATTACAGGGTGGAGGGCACCTGCGGTAAGCGTGTACAAGCAAGATGTGACACGGGAGATTGATCACTGCCAGCTGGTCATGTGACCTGTGTTCAACAACCTTATTTGGTGGTATTGTATAGACCTTGGCATGGTGCCAAGTGTTTATACAATGCTTGATCTGTAAATGACGAGAGGTTTATGATTGAGATATTATTGTGAATACATTCCTGTAAGTGGCCGCACTACTTACTCCCCTGTTGCCTCTTTCAGAAACTTACAATTGTTGATCTGTGAAAGAAATAATACCTACTGACAAGCATTAAATCAAGTGTTGAATTTTTACTTCACATTCTCAATAAATGTCTGGGCTGAATTCAAGTCATATCATGATAAGTTATAGTCAGTCAGTCTCTTTTCTGTGCTTTCATTAGCAAGATTGAATATACTGATATGTCAAGCTATCCTTTTGCTCATTAGACATGTTTTAAATTGGCAAGATAAATGGAATTTGATGGACAGCTCAGTATGTGCTGTGTTTACCTTCAGCTGTATTTACCTTGTGCTGGTTCATCTGAACATTTTGACGATGGATGCTCCAGAGACTGGCCACTGAGACGCTTCGTCATGCCAAGGATCCCTCTGTGCCACTCAAGGGTGGGGTTGCCCAGTTGTTAATGTGTTCACTTGTCATGCCCAAGACTTGGGTTCGATTCCCCACATGGATACAATGTGTGGAGCCCATTTCTGGTGTACTCATTCACACACCTATGCCATGGGTCCCCTGTATGTATAGGATCCTGTTGTAAGCCTGAGCTCCCCTCTATGCCCAGGATCTGCCTCTATGCCCAAGATCTGCCTCTATGAGTAGGATTCGCCTCTATAAGTAGAATTAGCCTCTTTTTGCCTAGGATCCCCACTATGCCTAACCGTCCTCTATGCTTGAAATCCCCTTTATGCCTAAGATCCGACTCTTTGCCCAGCATCTGCATCTATGGCTAAGCTCCCCTATATGCCTGTGAACCCCCACTGTGCCAATATTCTCCTTCTATGCCCATATTCCCCTCGGTACCTATATTCCCCTTCTATGCCTAAATCATCGTCTGTGCCTATATTTCCCTTCTATGCCCATATTCCCCTCTGTGCCTATATTTCCCTTCTAGGCCTATATTTCCCTCTAGGCCTATATTCCCTTTCTATGCCTATATTCCCTCTCTATGCCTATATTCATCCTTTATGCCTACATTCCCCTTCTATGCCTATATTCACTCTCTATGCCTATATGGGCGGTGGGGTAGCCTAGTGGTTAAAGCGTTGGCTCGTCACGCAGAAGACCCAGGTTCGATTCCTCACATGGGCACAATGTGTGAAGCCCATTTCTGGTGTCCCCCGCCGTGATATTGCTGGAATATTGCTAAAAGCGGCATAAAACTAAACTCAGTCAGTCTATGCCTATATTCCCTCTCTATGCCTATATTCATCTTCTATGCCTACATTCCCATTCTATGCCTATATTCCCTCTCCATGCCTATATTCCCCCTCTGTGCTTATATTCCCCCTCTGTGCCTATATTCCCCTTCTGTGCCTATATTCCCCTTCTAGGCCTATATTCCCCTTCTAGGCCTATATTCCCCTTCTGTGTCTATATTCCCTTTCTAGGCCTATATTCCCCCTCTGTGCCTATATTCCACCCTAGGCCTATATTCCCCCTCTGTGCCTATATTCCCCTTCTAGGCCTATATTCCCCTTCTATGCCTATATTCCCCTCTGTGCCTATATTCCCCCTCTGTGCCTATATTCCCCTTCTAGGCCTATATTCCCCCTCTGTGCCTATATTCCCCTCTCTGTGCCTAGCCCTATATTCCCCCTTAGGCCTATATTCCCCTCTGTGCCTATATTCTTCCTTCTAGGCCTATATTCCCCCTCTGTGCCTATATTCCCCTTCTAGGCCTATATTCCCCTCTGTGTGCCTATATTCCCCTCTCTAGGCCTATATTCCCCCCTCAGTGCCTATATATTCCCTCTCTATGCCTATATTCCCCTTCTAGGCCTTCTGTGCCTTATTCCCCCTCTGGGCCTATATTCTCTGCCTATATTCCCCTCTCCCCCAAACACACACACCTTGGCCCATATTCCCCCTTCTATGCCTATATAGGGGGCTGTGGGGTAGCCTAATGGTTAAAGCTGCTATTGGCCTCTCACCAAGACCCGGTTCAATCCCCACATTGTGTGAAGCCTATTTCTGGTGTCCCCTGTCGTGATGTTGCTGGAATATTGCTAAAAGAGGCATGAAACCAAACTCAGTCAGTCCTCAGTCAGTCTATGCCTATATTCCCCTCTGTGCCTATATTCCCTTCTAGTGCCTATATTCCCCTTCCCCCTCTTCTGCCTATATTCCCCCCTGTGCCTATATTCCCCTTCTAGGCCTATATTCCCCCCCCTCTGTGCCTCTATTCCCCCCTAGGCCTATATTCCCCCTCTGTGTGCCTATATTCCCCTCTAGGCCTATATTCCCCCTCTCTAGGCCTATATTCTTCTAGGCCTATATTCCCCCTCTGGCCTATATTCCCCTAGGCCTCCCTCCCTCTGTGTTCTCTATATTCCCCTCCTGTGCCTATATCCCCTGTGTCTATATTCCCTATGCCTATATTCCCTTTCTATGCCTATATTCCCCTTCTAGGCCTATATTCCCCCTCTGTGCCTATATTCCCCTTCTATGCCTTTCTGAGACTCCAGCGTTTGGATGTGGTCCGGTCCTCTTTGACTCACCATGGACAGCCTGAAATAACAGAATGTATTTGTGTGAGGATGTTTCTGTGGGGTCTGTCGGCAACACTGAGGTAGTAAACATTACACTATATCACCTGCATTCAACAGCTGCAAAGGCTCATAACATTCATATTTGGCTCTTTCAAAAAAAAATTATTTTTTTTCCAAATTGAAATTACTTCAGCAGCTGAAGTGTGAAATGTGATATACATTCTTTACTTCTTGGCAGGTAACTTGTTTCCATCTGGAACACATGGGTACACATGACCAATGATTGTCCACAGCAGTAGTTCTGTCAGATTAAGGGAGATGTGGTTGTCTTAGCACTAAGATTGTGTTAAGGAACAAGGATGTATTGTAAGGAATTGACTGGGAGCAGTGCTTTCAGTTTTCAAACTACTCCTTAGTAGCCTATAATTCATCATTATTTGCTCCTTGTGAAACCATATTGGCACAGATGTGGCATTGAGATTATTGATTGTAGATGGCAGCATGCAACCACACAATCCCGAGCGTGACTGCTTATGTTTTACAACATGCTACCTGGCTGTGTCTTATGCTGCAGTCTCCAGCTATCCCCAGTGTTGTAGTGCCGTGGTGTGAACCTCACTGGGAAGACTGCAGGTGGTGGTGGCATTACAGCTTCGTGACACTGTTCTAGCACCAAATAGACAACAGATCAACTTTGTGTGTTCCAATGAGAATGAAGTCAGGTGCGGAACAATCAGGAGATATGCCACATTGTCAGGTGTGAGCCTTGTCAGAACCATATTGTCTGTCCCGACCTCCCTGACCTCCAGGGTAACTATCGGCTACAATCAAGTTTAGCTCTGTCAATATAAGACCGATTTGTTTACCTTCCATATCTAATGTAAGTTTCATTAGGTGGCCACTCACTGACCAGCTTGACCAAGAGTCTCCAGGTGGCGATCGTGACTCACTGTCCACTAGCAGATATTGTAAGTGTGTGGAGAACTCTTGTCCTGGTTTATTGGACCAAATCTCAGTACAACTGTACGAGTATGAGACATGACTTTGTGCAACATGATTTGACTCTCAAAGGCATGTAGGCACTGACAAGACCAGGCATCACTGTCCATTTTTCACAGATGGTGAACACGTCTACAGTCAGATTCATGGATAATGAAGTTGTCCGATGAACCTTCAGGGAAGGAAGTGAGACTTGCTGTGGTGGTCGGAGAAGCTTGAGACAGAGATAGTGGAAGTGACACTGGCTGCAGATTACAGGAATCCTACCTGCTCATGCTGATCTGGACGGTGGCGCTCTCATGACATACGATAGACCAGTCTTGTGTGGAAACGTAACTGTGTTCATGCTACAAGGTTTAACATCCACCCTCAGTGCCACCAGACTTGACCTCACCACTCTGACACCACCCGCAGTGCCACTGGTCTGACACCCACCCGCAGTGCCACCGGACCTGACACCCACCCGCTGTACCTGCGGACGTGACACCCACCGGCTGAGCCACCAGACCTGACACCCACCGTCTGAGCCACCAGACCTGACACCTACCCGCTGTGCCACGTTTTTATTTGTTATGACATAGAAACTTGTCCACAGGTACTGGCAGTGGTGGTAGACACCGGCCTGGCCAGCTTCTGATTAAGTAACACATACATCAGTGTTACTTGTGCTGCATCACCATTATCTCTGGATAGTCATATAGTATGGCAGCCTGACTTCACCCCTTAATGTTTGTGCATGACACTGGTTATTTTACCCTGGAGACAAGCAACAGTTGCCACAGTGTGTCACAAAGCGAAGCAGGTCGACATCTTAGATATCACCTTGCATTAATTATTCAGATACGGAAGGCTATGGCTGAGGCTGTTGTGTGAGGAAGATAGGTCTGGGATCCCTAGTGAACTCAACATATGTCTGGTGCATGTTTGATATTCACCTGGACTGTGCAAACACTGCCCCTGTGGAGGCAGCCTTACCCTGCCAGCCTGATGACGGCTCCAGCCCCCACCCCACACAGCTACGCAACCATTACGCTCATCAGCACTGACAATACGAACAGATTTGTTCTTGTGTGTATCTACTCTGGCACATGTATATTTAATGTGTGTCATACATTGTGTGGTGGAGTAGTGGAGGACTAGTGTGGGAGGTACCTGTGGTCAGCCATTGTGAAGTGTGGTGGATGTCAGATTCCCTTGCTGGCCACACTGAAATGATGAGGAGAAATGGTGGACATAGTGTGCAAATATGGAGACACACCTGGACAGGAGCTGAACAACGGACAGAATCCCAATGGATCAACCACACACCGACCCCAACACAAGGACGGAACAACAGAACACAGGAAACCACGCCAGGAATGGAACCCACACAGGAACGAACAAACCAGGAACCCAACGCAGACAGGTTCAACAACATGCACGGAGACACCCACAACGGACAGGAGGAACACATGGAGGAACCCACGGAGGAAGGAAACCAACAGGACGGAAACCAACGACAGCATGGAACCCATGGACCAACGAACATGGAACCAGGACATGGAGGAAACCAACGGAGGAAACCCAGGACGGAGACAAGGAAACCAACAGGACCCAGGAAACCACATGGAGGAACGACACACCAGATGGAAACCACAGGAAAGGACACACCCAGAAACATGGACAGGAGAATAAGGAGGGAATCCCAGGACACCAACCGAACGGAGACCAGACGGAACCAGTGACAGACGGAGGTTCAATGTGCCAGGGTGGAGGGTGAAGGGTGGTGGGGTGCCAGTGTGTGGTGGGTGTTCAATGTGCCAGGGTGGTGGGTGTTCAGTGTGACATGGTGGTGGGTGTTCAGTGTGACAGGGTGTTCAATGCACCAGGGTGGAGGGGTGTTCAATGTGACAGGATGGAGGGTGTTCAATGTGACAGGGTGGAGAGGGTGTTCAGTGTGACAGGGTGGAAGGGTGTTCAGTGTGACAGGGTGGAAGGGTGTTCAATGTGACAGGATGGGTGTGCCCAGGGTGGTGGGGTGTTCAGTGTGACATGGTGGAAGGGTGTTCAGTGTGACAGGGTGGAGGGTGTTCAGTGTGACAGGATGGTGGGGTGTTCAGTGTGACATGGTGGAGGTGTTCAGTGTGCCAGGGTGGTGGGTGTTCAGTGTGACAGGTGGAAGGTGTTCAGTGTGACAGGGTGGAGGGGTGTTCAGTGTGACAGGGTGGTGGGTGTTCAGTGTGACATGGTGGAAGGGTGTTCAGTGTGACAGGGTGGAGGGGTGTTCAGTGTGACAGGGTGGAGGGGTGTTCAGTGTGACAGGGTGGAGGGGTGTTCAATGTGCCAGGGTGGTGGTGTGTTCAGTGTGACATGGTGGAGGGGTGTTCAGTGCGCCAGGATGGTGGGTGTTCAATGTGCCAGGGTGGAGGGTGTTCCGTGTGACAGGGTGGTGGGTGTTCCGTGTGACAGGGTGGAGGGGTGTTCAATGTGCCAGGATGGAGGGGTGTTCAGTGTGACAGGATGGAAAGGTGTTCAGTGTGACAGGATGGAGGGGTGTTCAGTGTGCCAGGGTGGTGGGTGTTCAATGTGACAGGATGGAGGGGTGTTCAATGTGCCAGGATGGAGGGGTGTCCAGTGTGACATGGTGGAGGGGTGTTCAATGTGCCAGGATGGAGGGGTGCCAGGGTGGTGGGGTGTCCAGTGTGACATGGTGGAGGGGTGTTCGATGTGCCAGGATGGAGGGGTGCCAGGGTGGCGGGTGTCCAGTGTGACATAGTGGAGGGGTGTTCAATGTGCCACGGTGGTGGGTGTCCAGTGTGACAGGATTGAGGGGTGTTCAATGTGCCAGGATGGAGGGGTGTCTAGTGTGGCAGGATGGTGGGGTGTTCAATGTGGCAGGGTGGTGGGGTGTTCAGTGTGCCAGGATGGAGGGGTGTTCAATGTGCCAGGGTGGTGGGTGTTCAATGTGACATGGTGAAAGGGTGTTCAGTGTGACAGGGTGGAGGGGTGTTCAGTGTGCCAGGATGGAGGGCAGGGTGGTGGGGTGTTCAATGTGGATGGGGTGGTGGTGAGGGTGTTCAGTGTGCCATGGATGGAG